GGGACAGGATGACCTGTGTAGCATCGGGCTGTGAAGCGTTAAGGTCAGGTTGAGGTGGATTCTTCCTGACGTTCATCTGATCAGCACGCGCCTCTGAAGCCCCAGCGTCTGACTGAACAGTGACCAGTGGTTGCTCGCTGCCGACAACGTCTTCTGCATGTCCAGTCCTCTCGTTCGGCTCAGCTGGACAGACAGCTCGCAACGAAGCCACGCCTGGTCTTGTTTGAGAACCTTGCTCTTCGGCTTCCATCAGTGCACGTTCTCTGGCTTCCACCTCTGCCAGCTCACTCTCCAACTGCAGATTCTCCATGCGCATCTTCATCTCCAGTTCTTCATTCTCTATCTTCTGCTTGCGCATCTTCATCTCCAGTTCTTCCTTCTCCATCTTCTGCTTCCTTTTCAGAAAGGCAGCTCGAGCCATCAGTCCCGCCTTCGTCGCCGACTCCGCTGCTCGCAACGAAGAGATGGAGACTTGCGAGGCAGAACTACGCAAGGACATCTGTGATGTGGCTCTGACGAGGGGTCCAGGAGCCGGGACCGTGTTGTCTAAATCAGGAACAGCCACCTCAGCGGCTGCGGCATCAGCTCTCGGTTCGGCGGAAACGTCCCGTCGAGCTGCAACGAATGATGCAACGTCGATTCCTTCTTGAACCAAAACCTCATTTAATCGCAGCATCAGCGCCGGCTTCGAACCCTTAGTGTCTGCACCTCTTCCCTTCAACTCCGCCTTCAACTCCGACACTTTCAGCTCTTCTAGAGGATTCATGATTGATGACAACTAATCAAAGCGGCTCCCAACTATCATCTAGCTGATTAACAGAAGTGTGACCAATTGAAGTACAAGACTTAGTTAGCAGTTGATCAACCTATCACGCAAGGCGACCGAGCCAGCTACGACAATCAGCGAGCTGCCCGGAGGACAAACCGCCTATCGACGACGCGTGAAACCGAGGTGAGTCTCCAGACAGGTGAGGTAAATCAATAGGAAAATTATCCAGGATCACGTGAAAACTTAGAGTTTGCTTAATATAACACCGAGTGCAGTTCATTCACGATCAATAACCGTCGGGAACACGTTAACAGCCGACGGAACACCCAACAAAACGCGAACTCCGTTAAATATGACGCCACAATCGCTATATGACGTCAAAAGCTCAGTATGACGTCACCCCCGTCATGACGTCACAATAGTACGGTATTACGTCACCCCTCACTATGACGTCAACCATCCAGTATGACGTCACCAACCACCCAGCATGACGTCACCAAGTCTATGACGCAACTGTCCGACGTTATGACGTCACTTAGATCACGCGGCAAATGGCCTGGAGCGGAGTCACCACAGGCGTGATAGCGCGAAGGTGTCACCATACCAGTACGGACGAGTGTGGTGCTCCTGCTCCTGTAGCGTGCCGTCCTCCACGACGAGATGACGTCACTCCGTCGTCTCGCGAAGCGTTGTCGCAGTTGTCGCAACTGTAGCCGCCGACCATGGCTCAGTTCGAAACTCGGATGTCGTCACGGATCGGTGTATTGGACCGTGTGGCCCTCCGCACGCAATCGTTGCTGTAAAACAACGGCCCTAAGTTAAGCATTGCACAAATAAACATAAACGAGCGCAAACAAACGTGACGGAAATAAAAGGGACAGGCGAGGGGAACATAACACACGCATAAATAAATAACTTGATAAAGGCAACCAGGTACATTGCTACGCGTCCATTCATGCACTTGAATATGCATATACGAAACAGTATAATTATATCGAAAGCACTTGATTACATGATTGTGCTACCGCGACATTTAGTTACGTACCGACAAATGTGCTCCCTGAGTCGCTTATCGGCTAACGAAACCAGAGGCACACGTCTCCAGAGGCACATTAGACGACCAGCCTCACGGTCTTGGTAAATGGCTATAAATCCGAGACGAGTGTCAGCCTTCACCTTATTTATCCACATATAAATGACCGGTAATAAATATCTGCAGGCAATTCATATAACATTCAATATTGGTTTCATACACAGTAAATATTCGCCCTAATTACGGTTACATATTCCATAAATATTACGAGTTAACAGTCATTTTTCCTGTGCGACTCACCGGCTCTGGCGCAGACACCACCACATACCACCAGCCTCAACGGGGCTCAACTGACCCGCGCCGCGCCCCCGACCAGCGCCGGGGCGCCGGGCACCGCCCATATTCAGAAATGTTCATCCGCGTCAGCTATCATATTCGCAACTTAAATGTCCAGGAGATCCCTACTCGCATCAAACAATACATTTTACAATCCTGAGCACATTATTGGGCATAACATACACATTAACGAGTCAAATATCACAGTTTCCAGTTACTACTTTTCTGACCCTGCGGTCGCGACGGCGCAGCTACATTCCTGGGCCCTGCCCCAGGCTACGGTCAGCCGGTGACCTCGACAGGTCAGAGGGACCGAGCGAGCAATGTGCCAAGGCTGCGAAACCAAGGAAGAAAATAGGAAATCAGCAGAATGGTAAACGTGGACTAAGGAACATAAAATGACAAAATGGAAATGGCGCGCCTACAATGAGGGTCAAATTACGGATTACCTGAGTCAGAGGCACATCGAGTGGAAATGGAACCCCCCAGCATCACCCCACATGGGGGGAGTATGGGAACGACTGGTGGCGTCCAAGGCCGTATAAGAGAGGTAGAATCATCCCGCGATTTCCAATGGACCGGTCGCTAAGCATTAGCGTGACGTCACTGGTGGAGACCGGGCGGCGCCCGGCTCCAAGCTGTACGTCGGGTACATTTGGCACCGTCTAGTTGTTATTACTGAACGTAATGACAACTAATGACTCTTAATAACTTTTTTACTCAACTAAAGCTGATTTCCTTGCCGGTACATTGCCGACCCGAGCCCCAGGGTTCACAATCATGGGATATGGGTCGGATGGGCGACCTCGCGACGGTAGAAGGAACAATTGCAATTGTTGTGCCCGCACCGCCGATTGCATTCTCATCTGCATCGGGGGGGGGGAAGCTGGGGGCACGTGCCCCCATCGGATCAGGGGGCCTCTCGGGCCCGAGGGGCCTTGCGACGCCAATTGGCGGCTGAGGGTCCACGCTGGCATCTTTCGACTCAGAAGGGCCCCACAGGGCTCTGAAGAACACCTTATGTGCTCCGAAGAGCCACACTTCTATCCATAAGAGCCCCACACCTGCTTTTAAGTGTCCCTTGTCGGCCTTTGGGGGCCCCTTGCCGGCTTCTCAGGGCCTATTGGCGACCTCTAAGGGCTACTTGCCGGCCTCTGAGGGCCCTTACCGGCCTATCAGGGACCAGCAGCTCTAAGGGTCCCACAAACGCCTGCGATGACCCCCTAAACCAATGGTTGAAGGCCCCCACAACGGCGCCTGCGAGGGCCCTCACCGGCGGCTGTGAAGGCCTCACACCGGTGCCTAGCTGAGGGCCCCACACTGCCACCTCTGAGTGCGACCGGCACCCTTGAATGAGGTCCCGAAACCAGTGCTTCTTACCGGCGGCTCTGGGGGCTCAACGCCGGAGCCTCTGACGGCCTCAGACGGGACCTGCGCATCGGACGGCCACTCACCGGTGACTTTTGAAGGCCCCACACCGACGACTCTGAGGGCCCCACTGGCGTTTGAATGTATCTTGCTGGTCTCTAAGGACTCCACAGGGCTCCCGAAGGCACCGCAGACCTCTTGAGAGCCCCTGTCGGCCTGTAAAGGGTTCGAGCCAGCAGCTCTAAGGGTCCCGCACCCGACTGTGACAACCCCACACTGCAGTGTCTCTGAGGGCCAACAACGGCAACTGTGAGGACCCTCACCGGCGCCTTTGAGGGCCCACAGTGGCACCTCTGGGGACCCTGCACCAATGCATCTGAGAGCCTCACACCGGTACCTGTGAGGGCCCACACCAGTGCCTCCAAAGGCTTCATAACCGGCGGCCCTGAGGGCCCTACACAGGTGATTTTGAGGGGCCTACCGAAGGCATCACACAATCCCTTAGTCTCGCTGAGCTTCTATCCCAATCCCATACCGGCTTCTATCCCAATTCCGGCTAAACTAATTAGCAGCCCCCCCCCCCCATGGGTCAGCAGCGCCGCGCCGGTGCCGGGGGCAAGCGCCATCGGGGCGGCAGTCGGCCACGCGCACTCAATGGTTAGCGCTTAGCACCGACGGCTAGCGCACGTCCGGTGTGTTATCGGCCGTGAGCCGCTCCAAAACGGCTGCAGTAACTAGTCGATATAGGTAGTAAGCAGATGCAGAGATGCAGGTGGATTGATGACCGGCAAGCTTTTGTGTTTTACGAGAGTGAAGGGTCGAAGTCGGCTGCTAAGTGGTGAGCGGATTTTATCAGATGCCGGTTCACCATGACCTTTGTCCGGGTCCTGGTACCCTGACGCACTCTTGGAGAGCCGAATCACAGCAAAAATCCACCCACGACTGTATCTATACGGCATACGCTTTTCTGAAAACGTCTGCGTTTGGCCTTCTACGGGCCGGGCCGGCCGGCCGGCCGCGCCGGCCCCGATTGGCGGTCCTCCAGTGACGTCACTGGTAGTGTTAAGCTGATTGGCGAATAATACATGGGAAGAACCGGGACGACATCCCCCTGGTGGCGTCCGTCAAAAGAGCACTTAGGGTCGTGCTTGGAAGCCAATGTGTTGCAGAAGACGTACTCCACACGACGCTCGTGGAAGTGGAATATATGCTGAATGGAAGGCCGCTGACTTATGTCAGTTCCGATGAGCGTGACCCTGAAGCATTGACCCCGAACCATTTCCTGCTGGGATCCTCCGACACCGGTGCGGGCTTGCCCCCTGGCGTCTTCAGTGAGCGCGATCTCATCGGAACACGACGATGGCGACAAGCCCAACTTCTCACAGACCACGTATGGAAAAGATGGCGAAAGGAATACTTACCAACACTGCTCTCCCGACAAAAATGGCAGAGTGAAACTGATAACTTACAACTGGGTGCTATCGTCTTAATTGTAGACGAGAATACATCCAGGGGACTGTGGCCCCTCGCCAGGGTGGTAAAGGTCTACCCAAGTACTGACGGCAGAGTCCGCTCTGCTGACGTGAAGACCGCCAACGGCGTCTACAGGCGCCCCGTAAACAAGCTCTGCCTGCTGGAAGCTCCGAGTAATGACTAGAGCGGGGTCGTTCGGACATCTGAGTGTTCCTGGTGCCACGACCGAGTGTTCCTGACGTCACACTTCACGGCTGAGTGTTCCTGACGTCACACTGGGGGGAGTGTTGTGTCACGAAATGCGAAGCGCCCCCTGCGTTCTGATCATGTTTTATTTGACATTTTTATTTGTCCTGCTTTCTAAAAAGGGTACAATTGGAAATTGTGAATCTATATTTTTCAGTTACCAGTGTTTAGTTCAAGTTTGAGTAAATTAGCAAAATTGTGCATATATTAGAATCTTGAGCTGGGTAAGGCGTCAAACTCTTTGAAACCATTTGGATAGTCTTGATTATTTAAGTGTGGACTGAGTTACTCTGGTTATTGGTGTCCAGACAGTGTGAAAATAAATCAGGACAGTGTTATCCAGTGCGTGTTCAAACCCACAAGCCCACAAGATTCTACAGCCTGTTATACGCATAATTTACCGCTTATCATAAATTTTTTGCATGCCGTAGAGAAGATGAGTATAGCAGCACATCTTTCAGTTTTCATGAGTTCCGATCCAAGCTATGATCCGACCACAGATGGCGCCTCTCGGCCAGTCGACCAGCCGTCTCTGGCTGCTGCTGCTGCTGCTGCTGTCCGGCCCGGCTGACGGCACCCAGTTCCAGCTGCTGGCCCGAGACCGCCACTTTCCGGCCGCGCCGCTGGCCAGCCTCCCTGCAGGTTCGCCGTTGGCCTGCGCCGCCCGCTGCGCGCGCCGTCCCGACTGCCGACTCTACGAGATGGCCGTCCACGGATGCCTGCTCTGGTCCACGGCGCCGGCCGAGACCGAACTGACCGCGGCCCCTGGCCACCGGATCATGGCGACGACACAGACACTAACACTCACAACCACCGCACCCGCTACTGCGGGCCCAACCACTACCGCAACCACCCCTGCCGCTGCTGCGGGCTCCACAGCCTCGGCTGACGCTGGCACGGGTCCGTCAATCACTGAAGCCACCACTGCGGGCCCAACCACTACCACAACAGCCACCGCAATAGCTTCTGCGGGATCGACAACCAGTCCAACCATCATACCGACTGCTGCCACCGATCCCACACCAACATCAGCTACAACCGTCTCCACGCAACCCACAACCTTTACATCAGACTCTGCAAACGACTTCACATCCACCACCTCGCCCGCGACAGCCGACCCGCTCAGATGCCCCGACCTCTTCCAGTTGGTCGGCATCACATGTTACCGTGTGGAACATCTGGGAGCCAACTACACCGCGTCTACCTGGGCTCAGGATACCGACTTTTGTCAAAACCTTCACCCACCCGCAACGCTGCCCACCTTCGCGAGCGAGGCCGAGTACGTGTTTCTGCGGGAGCTGCGGGAGTACTTCATGCTGAACATGGTGCGCGCCAGCGGCGGACGGTTCGTGATGACCGGCCGGACGGACGACTCGTTCTGGCCGGCGTTCTGGGCGGACGGTGAGCCGGGCTCTCTCGACCACTACGGCTCGCTGTACGACGACGGCCTGCTGCACGCCTTCCCCAAGAGCGCCTCTTTCGGCCGCCGGGTCATCGTGTGCCAGGTGCTCCTCAACTAGGGCCACCACAATAACAAGCGAGCTAGGAAGAAATCAGTTTTCAGCAGTGTCGGCATCTCTGTTCAGTGTATTTGAAAAAGATCCACGTAAAACGAGGCTTTTCACTTTTTCACGTTTAGGTATCAGTTAAACAGTATAACCATGAAATGACAGTGACCACTACACGCGCCACACATTCACACGCATACACAACAAACCAGTTATAAGTGCAGAGCTGAACACGGACAAAAAATCGTTTAAAGGGACTATCCCACCTTCTAAAATGTTGTTAAAACCAGTTAAATTGTGCCCGACTTTATAGATTGGATGACCAGGAACACGGTTCTGGCATTTATTTTTCATTAAACATCTTAGGCTTCCCATATTCCAAACACAAACTTTCAAATATGTGACGTCACAGCCCAAAATTACCTCCTTCCCCAGGCCACATTACTGTCATAAAGCTGATTCCTTTTACTCTGTAGGCACCACAACAAAGTTCAGACCAAGTTTTAAGCGATTTTTCAACGAACAAACCTATTTAAATCAGAATGACTAAACGAGGTGACGTCACACTAACGGTCGCTCCATGTTGAAGATAGGGCCTTGTACAAGGCCCATTTTCAAATGAAGGGAACGAATTTCTTCAACACCAAGAGGCCGCGGGGGTTGCAACCTAGATAGATAGTGGTTTCTGAACCTCGCCACAAACTTGGCTATCTCAACTCAAACCCCATGTTAAAGGTGGGATAGTCCCTTTAACGCCGCATACATAACCTATAGCACAGGCAGTCATATTACTTAAACACTGTCGGCTCTAATTGCCGCTTTAAACGCTGAGCGGAAGCCGACAGCAGCAGGGTCCAGGCGGTGCTCGTTAGGCAGTCTGATGTCCCTGTAGCACAGTCTACGCCGGCCAGACTCAGTGCATATGCGAGGGAGCATGCGGTTATCTGCGTGGCGCGTGCCGTGCTGCCCGTGGGGCGATGGTGTGATATAGGTGTGCTGGCTCCCCATACAAGATGACACGCCGCACAGCGCACAGCGCTCTATCACTTTTCGCTAAGCTCTGGCCGTGTTATCCCGTACCGTAACGAAGCTTTCAACAATTTTTTGAATTTGTTCATTAAAGAATATACCAATCAGTTGCTGGAGAAAGCCTGTTTACCTATCATGGATTTATTAGAAATGTATGTCTTGTTTGTTTTTCTATAAACATTAAAGCGACACCATTGCGAAGAAAACGCGACACAATTGCATGGCCTTTAAATGTGTTTTAATTGGCAGTTTATATCTTATTTGGTTTTACTCAGCATAGCCGCCAAAAAATACATTTATAGGTACGTATAACAAAAAATATTTTCAAAACTGAAATTCTTCCCATTCTGTGAAAGCCACTATCAAATTCAGCGCAAAATTATAAATAAGCTAGCAAGAAAATTGAAGAAAGGTATTTTCAAAAGTTTATTACCATCTGTTGGAGCAATGTGGGAGGGCGGGGGAGGGGGCGTTAAACGCCTCTACTTTTTCGCCGTGGCCATTGCTACAGCTAAAACACGGCGCGCCAACTTTTGGGGGCCTGTAGGCAGTAGCGGCGGAACACCTTCAATTAAGAGGGGGCACTGCCTACTTTTGGTCCCGTTCTTTCCATGCAACGCTCATAGGGCTAATATTAAAAATGTCACAGTCAAGGAGGTCATGGTGCGCCGGTGCCCCTCCCCCCCCCCCACCCCGTTCCGCCGACTATGCCTGTAGGGAATTAGTTGAGGTTTATTGTAACGAAGTTAGAAAAAAATCGGCAGAAAATTCATGAGATAATTGAGGTAGTTAATGACGTCATGATTTCTGGGTTTTAGACCAAAAATGGCATGTGCAAAAATCATATAAAATCACAGAACAGACACAGGCATGCAGCATTATGCTATTTCTAATGCAGCTCTAAAAAACGAAATTTTTGAACATAATTATGTATGTACATATGTGAAAAAGCAATTTCTTAGCAGGAGAGAAGCAGTAGGGGAGGTTGGGGTAATTTGGCCGCTTTTTTTTAGAAAACGATGTAACTTAAAACTGACGACACAGTTCTGCATTTTCTCAACGCTGGCAGGTGTCGCATTCATTTTACGTTACTGGACAGTGAACTTGAAATGATAGAGTAATTACTTATATTGTAATTGTGACGTATTACAAAGGTCTACAAGGCGCGTTAGGCGGCACGGGTGGACATCGATAGCAGCGCCTCTATCGGTCACTAGGGAAAGCTGGGCTGTAGGCGACGAAATACCGGCTGAGTTGTCACACGTTGAATAGGTTTATAGACATCCGTCTTGTGAAAAAGTTGAACTTTTGCCTTCAATATTTCTACAGGCAATTTTAGAAGTGATCTTCACATCTTGCAAGGCCGTTTAGATTATTGTATTCACTTCAAGCCTTCCTTATTGTTCTTGACGATGGTGCTGGAACTATTTATAATTAGTGTTTCTTGCTTAGTAAAAGCATATATTGTGCAAACGATGGAAAAACATAAAAGGAAGATTTTAAATGCAATTTTATATAATAGTTAATGGTAGATTCTTTACATATAAAGGAAAAGTTGCATGCTAACTGATAATTTAAAGCTCTTGGGGCCAGATGTTTTCTTCTTTTCTTACGTCGCTCCAATGGCCGCGAATACACTTGTGATAACGCCTATCGGGCCAAATTGCCACAATAGCAGGGTTATTTGGCCGGGGGTGGGGCAATTTGGCCGGTGTATCCTGAAAAGTTAAGGGGGTCGGTGTTCCCCATCTTCCCCTATATATGACAGCAATATAGCCTATACCTATACCAGCAATGGGATTCGCCAGAAACGAGGTCAAACTTTCGATTGTGACGACTTAATTCATTATGCTAGACCCACAGCCTCAAGCGAAAATGCAAGCATCTCTATTTCCAAAACACCTCAGGTTTGCCGAACCATGTCGTTAACCCGCGCACCGACCAAGCACCGAGATCTCAAGAACGAAGCAAAATAGAGACAAGCGGTAAACGGCATGGGGTACGCACGGACAAGGTCTACAATTTTCACAAAGGTCATTTTCAGGTCAGGTCAAAGATGACGTCACAGGGGTCAAAAAGTCAAATGGCGGCGCTAGCTATGAGGAGTTTTCCTCGAATAACTTTCGCAGTAGCCAAGCCAGGAAAAAACTAAGGACACCATCGTGATCCTCTCGTCAATCTGCATCGAATGATACCTATATGTGTTAACCTCGAAAGGTCAAGGTCAAAGGTTAACCTCAGGTCACGTGACCTCGAGTCGTCATGTATATCATTCGATGCGCCTTGACGAGCTGAACACGTTGAGACCATCCGCGCGGCTGTATCTTGTTCCTGTACGGAGTTATTAGCAAAAACCCTTTGATGGCCCTTGATGACGTCACATGACCTTACAGTTGCCCAAGAGCAAAAAAGACCTCAAGGTAGTCCAGGTTGATCGTATCTGAAGTCATTCATGGTATATTGGGCCATTCCGACGCGTTTTAGTGAGAAAAAAAAACAGAAAGTTTATTTTTCCCCCTTTGACTTATAATGGGGAGGTCAAGAAATTGACCTGACCTTGGGTCATTGACATCAAAATTCCGAGATCAACAAATTGTAGCTATTAATGACCTCGTTACATGCTGCGACTTTCAAAGGCCCCTGTCATCTACTGAAACTCTGACACGGTGACAAAGTTGCAAAAAAGGATTTGAGGTTGGGTCATTCGAAGTGACCTGGTGACCTGACCTTGAAAGGTAGGAGGTTTAAACTTGCACACCATGTGTAGAATTTATAAGAAAAAGTCATGATAAATTTCGCTACGCGCCGCGGTTTTTGCGCTATTCACGAGAAACCTCATGGCGGCGGTCAACCGCCCCCCGTCGGTGCGCGGGTTAAAAGTTTGATGACAGTATTGCGTTTGTTTTCAGTTATGCTGCAAAAGTGTTGTATCCATTTTCCATTATTGTGTAGTCGGCTGAACCGATTCAAAACTGAGTCGCTGCTACTAAAATAGCCACGTATGGCAGGACATTATTTAAAAGGAAAACAATTGCGAAAATTTGGACATACAACAGTCAACACTTCCTAACAATAAACATTTTTTGTTGGCACTTAAGACGACTGGAAAATGACTAGATGTGATGTAGATCCAGGCATCGGTAAAATCCTTTTTGAAAGGATTGCATTCCCAATCCACATTCCTAGTGCCGAAGTGGATTGCATTCCTACCCGCAATCCCCTTTTTTCACTTGGATTGTGATCAAATCCGCAATCCTTTTTTGCAATCCTGTTGTATTATTATGTGCACTAGTGGATCTGGGGGAGGGAGGGGGGCATAGGGCCGTGCCTCCATCCCCAAATCACCCATTTCTAGTACCTAGTCTTGCGAGTAATTCCTATCTAAGGCACAGGTATTTTATGGGAAATATTTGAGGCCCCCCACATTTAAAGGGACTATACTAACGGGTTACAAATAAAAAATGGGACTTTTTTAAAAAGCGTATATTTCAGCATTCTGAAGCCGTGTCTCATCCGTAATAGCCTTGTTCGAAGCACCGAAGCTTTGCGTGTCAGCCTCAGAGACGAAGAAGCGTTTCGTGACCGCCGTCCGAGACGCGACGCACCTTGGTCTTGACACCTCTCATGAGGTTCTGGACGATGTTCAGGTCGAGCTTCTTCAGCTTGGCGCGGATCCGTCGCTTCAGGGCACCTGCTGTCTCAGCCTCCCAGTCGCCTTCGTACACAGCCTGCTTCAGGTGGCTCCAGAGCCTCTCAATTGGCCGGATCTGAGGCGCTGCTGGTGGGTTATGGGCACGTGCAACCGTTGGAATTTTGAGCTCCTTCAGCTTCTTGGTGACTGACGCCTTATAGTGAGCCGTGGCGAGGTCAGGCCAAAATATGACCTTTTTTCCACGATGGTGGGTTGTTATGAACTTCTTCACAATAGGTATGCAGTTCTTTTCGTAGAAATCTCCGTTCATGGCATTTCCTTCTACGAATACTGGTTCACTCATTCCTTCGCTTGAGATGGCCAGCCAGAGCATCACTTTTTTGGGGAACTTGCCTTTCTTCGCAAACCGGACTGCGGAGGGCGTGTTCTTCTTATCGCTTGTATAGAAGCCCTTATTGGCGACGCAGCTGTTGTTTTTTAATGAAAAATACGTCTCATCGTCCATGATAATAACCGTTTTTCTACTAGGTTTCATTGCAGTCTTTCGAAGGATAGTGCAAGCCGTCTTCTGGCGTTTTTTTTCTGCTTTTCAGTAACGTCCGGAACGGTCTGTCGCTTTCGGTACTTTAGTGATGTTTTACCCTTGAGTATCCATGACACATATTGCTGGCTGATACCGTATTTTCTTGCGGCACGTGGCTGTGACGCCCCTATTTTTTCCTTCATGTCTGTCTGGAGGCGTTGACATTTTGCAGGGGGCATTTTCATTGCAGGACGACCACTCCCGCTCTTCCGCGACAATGGCACACCTTCATCACACTGTCGCATGATCCTGTATAGTGTTGATTTAGGAACGTGCATGTTTTTGAAGTGTTTGTATGTAAAAGCTTTGCCCTTACTCCAGTTCTCCATATAGAATTGTCCAACGACCTTTCGACGTAGGCCACATGATATTGCATCAAAGGGTGGCATGGCTGCACTGATATTTTTTTTAATTTCATGTCATAAAAAACAACAATCACGCGCATCCACACATGCAAGATTTGCGGTTGCACGAGCTTTTCATGCGGAGAAATAACGCAAGCAAAAAAGTCTCATTTTTTATTTGTATGTCTATACCTTTAACATGGGGTTTGAGTTGAGATAGCCAAGTTTGCGGCGAGGTTCAGAAACCACTATCTATCTAGGTTGCAACCCCCGCGGCCTCTTGGTGTTGAAGAAATTCATTCCTTTCATTTGAAAATGGGCCTTGCGCAAGGCCCTATCTTCAACATGGAGCGACCGTTAGTGTGACGTCACCTCGTTTAGTCATTCTGATTTAAATGGGTTTGTTCGTTGAAAAATCGCTTAAAACTTGGTCTCAACTTTGTTGTGGTGCCTACAGAGTAAAAAGAATCAGCTTTAAGACAGTAATGTGGCCTGGGGAAGGAGGTAATTTTGGGCTGTGACGTCACATATTTGAAAGTTTGTGTTTGGAATATGGGAAGCCTAAGATGTTTAATGAAAAATAAATGCCAGAACCGTGTTCCTGGTCATCCAATCTATAAAGTCGGGCACAATTTAACTGGTTTTAACAACATTTTAGAAGGTGGGATAGTCCCTTTAAACCTCTACCCAACCAGTGTTTTATATTTTTAAAACTCACCCTCAAATAGGTACGTAATTTTGCCCTTCCTATGTAGTTCATCAGCGTATATTATTTTGAGCGTTTAAATTATTTCAAGTTTCGATGTAAAGCCCTTGATAGCAAAGTACATTAAGCCGATGAAGCCGATCTCAAAATTTTCAATCGCAACAAACCATTTCAAAGACTAATCAAACACAATCCGGAATGGATTGCAAAAATTGGAAGCATGATGCAATCCAATCCGCAATCAAATCCTGTTTTTAATGGATTTCAAATCCAGGTGCAATCCACCAAAAAGGAATGCAATCAGGATTTTGCAATCCTGCAATCACAATCCTACCGATGCCTGTGTAGATCAAAGATGAGGAATATGCTCGTTTCAGAGAATTTCATTTAAGTACCAAAAAGTGGTGTAAGTACTTGTTTAAACCGTCATTTTAGCACTTTTTTAGCTTTCGTGACTTCAAGATGAGTTATTGGCGGTTAGGTACTGATTTGAGTAAAATGGTTCTTATTTAGGTAGGTACCTACATTATAGTTTGCTGTGTTTTATCATAAAATGGTCCTAACACAGCTTTTGTGGAGAAAGGTCATATTCTACCTTAAATCGATCTTTTTCGTCAGAAAACGTACTCGTATGATAAAATGAATGTCACATCGTATTCTACGCCCAAAAGTGCCTTATAATTTATAAACATGTGCCATATGCTGCGAATACCAGTTTTGATTTTCGGGAAATGTGCCCTCATCTGATTTATCTGACCTTGACCCTGACCTACGCTTGGCTGACCTCTATATGGGTCCGACAATCATGTAGCACTTGTAGGAAGGATTGTGCACAGTTTTAACCCTCGCCCGCACATGCCATTTTCCCATCCTAGAACGGACATGGTGGGATGGGTGGTTGCCACCCCCCCCCCGCGCCATTTCGTTCCTGTTGGAGATAGAGCTTAGCGGTTAAGACCAAAAAGATTCTTTGGGAAAAGACGAATCCAATGGTACCCAGTTTTACCTTCTCAGATCAGTCATTGACCTTCAAGGTCAGGTCAAACTAAAAAATATTGCTGTTTTGGGTCACCGTTGGATATCAATTGCGCTGCTTATCATATACCGATGACGATGCCGTTTTCTGGTGCCAAGCCAGCTAGAGCCTCTTTGTCACACTACCCGACCAGGTTTTTGCTGCTGAGGTCATTTCAGGTCAAGTTAGGTCAAGGTCAATGATATGTGTTTGCATGTCTGTGTGTGACTGTGTGTATACTGATGTGTGCAACGGTTGTTTATGTGTCCATATTACATGAAATCATGATCTGGGAAGCTTTTACCAAATATGCAGTCAAAAAACTTCACAAAAAGTAAATTCAGCTTGCCTAAAACGCAATTATCTTAGATGACCTAGGTTGACCTTGACCCTGACCTTGACATCTGTACATCGTCGCTCAACATGTTCCATGATAGGTGGGAGGTAAGACTGGCAAAGAAGGCCGAAATCAGGGTGTCAAAAGCTCACAAGGCCCATAGCGAACGCAAAATGTTGAGAATTGGCCATTTGGGTCATGACATGACCTGAAAAATAAGGTCATATCTCCGAAACCAAAAACCACAGAAACTTGAAATTTTCAGTGAACATCAAGAAAGGATAAAGGAGCAGCTATACGAAAAATCAGCCTTCTAGCTTTAAAAATGTTGAGTGCAGAGCAGAAAGACTGACTACCTGGGGGGTGGCAACCACCCCACCCCCCCCCCCCCCCACCATGTGCGGGCGAGGGTTAACGGAGTTTATGACGAGAGACGCCCAGTACAAGGGTCTAAATTCCATGCTTCTGAAAGACCAATTTCAGATGTTTGAACTGGTCTTGACCCGACCTATGACCTCAAAATTCAACTTTTAAATATTCATGTAAAGCTTCTCGTCGCCATCGGCTTTCGTCTGACGCCTCGTGCGTTTTGCTGCGCCCATTACCTAGTTCTAGGGTTATCGGCTGGTGGCCTTTAACGCCCTTCCCCAGCAAAGGGCTGGTGGCGAAAACAGAATCATATTATTTATTATTAACCCTCGCCCATGTAGGGGGGGGTTGGTGCAACCCCCCCCCTGAGGTTTTTCGGAAATAGTGCAAAAACGGCGGCGCGCAGCGCCGCCAAATTTTGGGTATCTTATGGGGCAAGCCTTGCGCATCTTTTGATAAAAAAAAAATTTGACCGGGTCATGTCAGGTCACGGAGTTATGACGTCACAAAGGGAACAGCCTCCGGCCGGATTTTCACAAACTGAGTGCCAACGCCCGAGGTTTCCTGCCGGTGGTACGGACATCTGTGGATGGATCGTGATGAAACTTCCCATGCATGTTGGGGCAAGTATTGGCTATCATATGGTATATGAAACTTGACCGGGTCAGGTCAGGTCACGGAGCTATGACGTCACAAGAGGAACAGCGTCCGGTACTATTTTTGAAAAGCGCCCGAACCACTATTTTGCTAATTCTTGTCACCTCAATGGGAATATGCAGCAATATTAGCTTCTATAGGGAGCAAATGGACCTCCCAAATCCAAAAATACAATCAGATTTCAAAAATTTAAATTTTGATTTTTCGAATTTCTGCCGCCGACTGTGACCTTGCCGACTTCCGGCGCTCCCAACGCGCCATTTTTAGAGCTAGGGAAACGAAATACATACCAAACGATAGAGAATTGATCAAGGAACACGATAGTGAAGGTTTCAAGTCGATATCTCGCACCGTTTTGCCGCAATCGCCGCGGAAAGTTGAAAAAAGTCTATTTTTCCGAAAATTTGACCTTTGACCGGTCAAAAGTAGGTCAAATGTTGACCTAGGACCAAAAAATATACCACCAATCGCGAGATCTCGGCGAGAGCAATCCGTTGGTCTTTTCCGCTAAGCTCTACGACGCTCCGTTTTCAAACGTCAAGGGGGGGGTCGCACCAACCCCCCCCCCTGCATGGGCGAAGGTGGCAGATCGCCGTTTACGGGCGAGGGTTAAACTTCTTTTGAATTAGAAACAGACGCTTGACTTCACCTGTCCAGGGAGCAGTGCATAAATGAAGCCAGTTTTACCAACAGAAAAATCGCCGTCTGCCGTAGTACCTTATTTCCTAAATCATCCCTAAGTTTCATCAGCTGCGCGAGAAAAAAAACGCACGCTGATGTGGGAATGTATCATTAAGTCTGTCTGATAGAATCTTACAACAACGGTTACCTTTTTTAAGTGAATTGCGAAATTCGGGGCGACGGTAAACTAAGATGACCGCTGCCGGCAACTTTTTTTTTGGGGGGGGGGGCAAAACTGCCACTGGTGTTTCGGCGTGAGGCGACTAGTGCTTGTAAAAGAACCCAGCATCGCCTTTTGCCTAGAAATTTACTGGATGTTTCATAACTTTATGTTTGCACACTGCTAGAGTGAGATTGTCCTGTCTCGTAGCTCAGTTGGTAGAGCATCGGACTCCCGGTAGTGAGAGCCCGGGTTCGAGTCGCTCCGGCGCTCGATATTTGAGACTCCTGACGGGGATGGTCTGCGGTTAGTGGGAGCATCCGCAGCCAGTTGAAGTCAGTTGAGTGGGACAGGCCGTGTCCGGCTTTGAAGGGCACGTTAAACTTTGGCATCTAAATTCTCCCGTTACCCGGAATTGCGCGATCGGGCGGTAGGAGTTGGGATCTACGCAACAAGCTCTGCTTAGCGTGGGCCTCGGCTCTGTCAATCCGTCCATTCAAACATTCGAACTAAATTTATAAAAAAGAGACTGAGCAGCCACCGTCACCGTATCGACATACGACGCATGGCCGTCCCGTCGCCGTGCCGGTCCTACCTAGTGACGCACGGGTGATGGGCACAGAGTCGGCGGCACCACTAACCGTCATCTCGGCCGGGTGTGGTGCTGTGCACGGGCGGCGGGTCACAGAGTGCACAGAGCACGTGCAGCGGTGATGTGCACGGGCCGCTCCTCTCCCGCCGACGGGCGCCGCGACTGCACTGGCCCGCCGCCGCCGCCCGCAGTGAGTATATCCCCCGGGGGCGGCACGACGCCACGGTACCTGCGCGATGTGCTGCCCGTGCTCGCCGCCCATGGAACGGCGGCGGAGCGACCGACTGGTCACCACCGGAAGTCAGTTTTAACCCGGCAGGCGGTGGGCCTCCCGGCCACCTTCCACGCGGTGGGGGGGGGGGGGGGGGGGGGCATTTCCCCCCCCCCCCCCGTATCACCGAAACTACTGGACAGATCCGCAAAATTCAAACGGCGTTCGATAGCCCTGACAAATTTGTTCTAGGAAACCAAATTTCATTGACCTCGGGGTCACCGATGACGTCACAGGTCAGGTCAAAGATGAAATGTTTCACCGTTCACGGGTCTTCTGGGGAATGCGCTGTAACACCGAATAACTGGCGTTATCTTTAGTTAACACCGTAACGCTGTCGGCATCGTGTGCTCCGTTCATCAGTGTTGGCTGTTTATCGGCCACCCGTCTCTCCTCCAGTGTATCCCATTTACCTTACTGGCGATACAAGGAGAGAAAGAAAACGAGCGACAAGGGAGATGGTGGAACTTGAAAAGGGATAAAACGAATAGAAAAGGGGCAAAGCTGGTCGGATGGGGTGGGTGGCGGAAACCCGCTTCGGCGGAGCCGCCGCGCCGCCCGGAGCCGCCAGCCCGCACTGAGACTCGCTCCCCTCGCGCTCGCCCGTCCACCGGCCGCGCTACGGCCCCTCCGGCGCGGTCAGGTCAAGGTCACCGAACACCGGCCCGTACATACACTGCGGCCCCGGCATAGGCTTACGGGCGCGCAAGAGCAATGATGCAACGTTGCCGTTAACTGACATAACTGGCGTTATCTTTAGTTAACACCGTAACGCTGTCGGCATCGTGTGCTCCGTTCATCAGTGTTGTGCTGGCTGTTTATCGGCCGCCCGTCTCTCTCGCTCTCCAGTGTATCCCATTTACCTTACTGGCGCCAATAACACCCGACAGGACAAAATGTTAGTACGAACTTAAGTATGTACTTGGTATTTTTACACTCACAGCTCGATTCCAGTGACAGGCGCCGGGTCCCCGCTGGGATCATTCAGGAAATCGGACAGGCCGAGCGGCAGACTATCAGGGTCAGCCTGGGCGTGCGGTCGCAGCAATGGGAAACGATGCAAATCACCGCGCGACAGACTGTCTGCAGGACCGTTGTCGTTCGTACGTACATAAGCCACGGATAACACGAAACTCTGGCATGCGGATGCAAAGAGAATGTGACGCAGGACCGCCATAATTTTCGGATTGCTGGACCATCCACGCGACAGGCATCTTACCACGCACATGTTATCAGAATAAATACGCACACGCTTCCCAGACCATAGACTGCCCCACAGTAGACGCATGATACGAGAAGCGTGATGATCTCGAGCCACGTCATGGACTGGTGTCTCTCGGGTGATGCATTCCGGCCACTGAACCAACCACCATCGCTGGCCAATACACGATCCGGTACCCCAGCGAGAACTGTCGGTGTGGAAAAACGTCGGCATTCGCGGTATGGTCATCGGGGTTAAACAGCGGGAAAGTGCCGGACCAGATCGGGAGGTATTTTGCCCACCATCGTAGGTCGGCGCGTGCCGGGTACGTGGACGCGGAGACGGAACATGCCAGGTCGAGCAGGCGGCGGGTAAAGGCGCGGCCGGGCGGTATAGTCGACAACAGAATGATGTTCCACTTTTCACATGCAATTATTTGCCTGGAGTGGTAGGCTGTGTCGCATCACACGGGCTGAGTTCACAAACTATGCTTTGTCCCAATGCTCACAATCGACACGCTTAATTGCTTAATAAACGTCACAACTTAGCGCTCTGGTCAACTGATAGCTTCTGAGGAGTGGAACATCATTCTGTAGTCGACTATACACATTTAGCCGCGTGGACTAACCGTTCCACGATGGACAAGAGCTCACGCTTTGTGCACTTTCGTTTGTGAAGGAGCTCACCGATTGTCTCTCTGTCTCTGAAGTTTGTTATCAGGCAATGCAACAGTTCGCTATAAATTATTGAAAATTAAATTCTTTTAAATATTGTAGGGAATAACATTCTGGAGAGCTGTAGCTAGGAGTGCTTATCGTTTTATACATACATGATACACCGATCTGCATTGCATTCTTCATCCATTCTCTCCGCGCGAGATACGACATATATTCACGCAAGGATACCTGCGTTAGCGTGTGTCTTATTCTAGTCCGTCAGAGCTCCGCATCCCTCTGAACCCGAGCGGCGAATGACCGGTCCGACCCCCACCGAACACGATTTGGTAGCCGAGGTCTGTGACGTCAGCCGGGCGTGAAGTTTTCCCTTCACCATAGGCTTCACACACAAACCGGCCGAAGTTCATGCCAGGATAGCCCGGCTTGAAAGTGCAAAAATGATTAAATTTTGCCCTCAATAGATTCATTGCTTCATTTTATAACTAAAAACGTCCGTTATTAGGACTCAATGAAGGTAAAAAGTACTCAAAATCGAAGTTCAAGAAGATGCTGTCCGAGCACAATCTGGTAACATCACGTGACCTCTTTTAAGCAGAATTTATATAATTCAAGGATGTTATTACACGATTGCTGCCTAAAACATTTATAAATAATACGCTTGTAACATTTATTGCTTCTGTTTAAGTCATAACATTGCAAAACGCAAAATTTGTCATGGAAGTCACGTGACCAAAGGTATAGCAGGGGTTGGGACAAGCACTCAAAGGATTTCAAGTTTTTTAATTAAATTATATAAGTTTCATGATGAAATTGATAGAATGTATTTTTTCCGAATGAAATACAAATTTTCGTATGTAAAATATTTTTCTTATGGGCGAAATTCTCCATATAAGAAATGTTAGTGACGTCACCAGGGCTTTACGTGGGCTTTACTCAAAACATCGGACCTACCTGTTTCTTATAGGTATCTTGGACCGGTCCCGGTGTCGCGGCGCAGTGGGCGGAGCTTAGCTGCGGCGCAACAGCTGACGCTGCAACGCCATGCTAGCCTCTACCACGGCGCAGAATTTTCCGATCAATTTTTACCATTACAAACCAGTAAAACGCCTTTTGGGCGAAGAACGAGCGAGCGAGGTAGTGAGCTCTGCACGTGCGGAAGGGCGAGAGGGTACTTCCAACGGGCTTGCGCAAAGCACCCTTCTAACTGGTCGCTAGCGGTGTGCCAAATTTGAACGCAATCGGCCCAGCCGTTCCTGAGATCTGGAAGCGGCATGCTGCACGTGCGCACGTGCAAACGGGGTCCAAAATGACTTTTGCACGGCACCCTACTAACTGGTCCCCAACCGTGTACCAAATTTGGGCGCAATCGGCCCAGCCGTTCTCGAGATCTGGAAACGCCCCCTGCACGTGCGCACGTGCAGTAGCATCCTAACCGCAACGCATGGGAATGCATTGCCTGGTGGGTGCCTACCTGTATGCCAAGTTTCAGTGAAATCGCCCCAGTAATTACCGAGTTACTGAAATGGGAACAAATTTGGCACCTCTTATTGTTGTATTTTTCACGTGCACTGGGGGTGACCCACATGCATCGAAAGTATCCTATTTTGGGTAGAAGGGATGCTGCTACCCTACAAAAATTTCCGCAAGCCAATCGCCCAAGCGGCTGCTGAGATATGAGCCTCTCAAAATCACTACTTTTGCAAAATAGCTTGAACACCCTTGACTTTTCACGTGGCACGTGCCACGACGTTCACTGAGATGTATCAAAAGTAGTCAATTACGGGGTAGAAGGGATGGGGCTACCCAACAAAAAGACCGCAGACCAATCGGTCCAGCGGTTGCTGAGATATAAGCCTCTCAAAAGCGTTACAGGCCGGGCCGGGCCGGGCCGGGCCGGGCCGGGCCGCTCATACTGAGATTTTTCCGTTATATTGAAAAGACTCACTTCGCTCGCTGCGCTCGCTCGCTCGTAATCAATGACAATTGCCTTTCATTTTGACATCTTGTTAAAAGACCATGTTAGTAAAAATTAGGTAGGCCCTTGAAACTCATTGTGTCAAAGTTTGGTTGAAATCAAGCGTATAGGTAACGAGAAAGAGCCAAAAAGGACTGTTCCAGAGGGTCTGAAATGCGTAGTAGGGGTTTTGGATAGCGCGGCAGCCAACGCCCTAACTTAACCTTCGCCCCAGTGGGGGGGGGGGGGCGAAGTGGGGGGCGCGTCGCGTAGCGCCGCGCCGCTTAAAGTAGCTTTTTGTACATGAATTTTGGACACTGTGTGAAATTTTTGATCCCAGGTCATGTCAGGTCAGGTTACCAGGTCAAAACTGACCAAGCCTAAAAAAGTTTGCGATCATGTCCAGCCTGCAGTGTTTGTCAGAAAGGTTTTAAACTTGGTGGATTGCATGATGTTATGAGCGCCTACAATTTGTATATCTCGGATTTTGCATATCCATGACCTTAGGTCAGGTCAGTGGCGTGACCTTACCATTATAAGTCAAAGGAGAAAAATGAAAATGCCTCTAGGTCCGTGTGTACGCATAGGAACAGTCGAACTATTTCAGAAGCACAATGATTTGGACCACCCGTGACGACCAAGGTGCCTTTTTTACTGATAGCCTCTAGAAAGGTCATCCAAGGTCATTTGAGGCTACAAACAAATTTTTGCCAATAACTCTCGATTGGAAAGAGATGACGCTGGGGATGGCCTCATTGTGTTTGTCTTGTTGAGACGCATCGAATGATGTGCAACATGACCTTTTCCGGTCAGGTCATGACCTTGACCTGAGGTCAAACTTTCAAGTTTACCATTCAAGGTCAAATTATAGTTCATTCGACGCGTCTCGGCGAGAGGAACACGATTCTGTCAATAGAAATGTTGTGGCGTTTTTTTTAGTCAAAAGTTATTGTCGAAAAACACATTTCGTAAAAACAGCTATTTTTGGAGTAAGTGGCGCTGCGCGGTGAACAAACGAATTTCCGGTAGAGGCCACAAAAAGCGAATGGT